CCTCCAACTGTGATAAAAAAATCACGGGCAACAGCCACAAAACAATCCACTAAGAAGATTTAAAGGAATTACACAGGTATACTCTCAATTACCTAGCGAATCCACGCCTAATTGAACCAACCTCTATGTGCCTCTTCCAACCTCGTCTTCACCTCGGAATTGTCTTTACGATGAGCCACTCCGGAATCCACCAAAGCTTCAGGCTCGAATTCTTCAAAATCCACCGAAGAACAACTCTCTCTCTCTTTTGTAGAACTTGTAGAACAAACCAAACCTTTGATGTATACTCTTTAAAACATGAGTTGAATACTCAATCAAAACATCAAAGCAAACTTACAAAGTATCCCCAGATATAAATCCTAGAACCCAAAAAGAAGATCTGGAGTAGTAATCTTAAAATCTGACCCAACACGCGAATTTATAGAATTTGTCCCGCGATCTCCGCTCGAGCGCCCAACAGCCCGCTCGAGCGGCTTCAGCAAAAAACAACATCCAGTATTTTGCAGGCAAATAAACTTCTGGAACTCAGTATTCTCCGCTCGAGTGGGGGAATGTCCGCTCGAGCAGACAGGCAACTTTGAATGCATTTTTGCATTTTACTTCGAGGGTGCTGCCCCTCGACCCCGCCGTGGCGCTGCCCCGGCCCCGCCAAGGGACGCTGCCGCCTCGACCCCTGCAAGCTGACCGGGCAGCTCGATCCCCGTCATAATCAGTGAAGTGGCAATCTTGAAAACATTAGCATCACAAACTTCTCTGAAAGGCACAATTCGGGTTGGATTCGCATCTAAACACTCATAGCCTCACTGAAATAAAAGTGCGAAAAAAAATACAACTGAAAGGAGTTTTGTCAAACGGGATTGCCAAAAATAAAACCTAACAATAGCATACACAAATGCAATGAACAATATGGCATACTCAATGCAATAACTATCATGGCATACTCGATGCAATATGATCATGGCATATACAATGCGAATCAAGAGCATGGCATGCACAATGCAAACAATAACATAACATGCACGATGTGATGTAACATGGCCTACACAATGTTTCAATGGACTTAAACCAAAATGGACAGACCTCAGCCATGCCCAAATCAGTGGCCATTACACCAAAATAAAGGCACAAAACACAAAGCATGCATGCACAATGCATTGGCCAACCAAGTAGGCCTAAGAGCACAACCCTCAAGAAGGCTCAATGAGTGACAAATACGGAAGTGTAACAACACTAAATGCACTAAACTTAAGTAAGATATGATGCCAAATCATTCAGTCAAACACAAGTATAGCATGCAAAGGTCCTAAAGCATGAAAGCTAATAAAGAGGACTACAAAGGAGGCATGCAATACATGGCACAAATGCATGAACCAATCATGGACAGAGCTAAAACAGGTCACAACAATGACCAAAACATGCTAAGATGGAGGCTCAAAGACCTAGGCAAGATGGCATACATGCTAGGCCATAAAACTAGGCAACAATGCACAACACTTAAAGGCATTCAAAACATGAAAGAAGTAGAAATATAAGCATGCTATAAGCTCTGAAATGTCATGAAAAATGATGCCAAATCAAGTACATGATACAAATGAAGCATGTGATAGTGCTCGAAACTTGAAACTAGCAAGAGCACTTGTACTACAACTATGCAAAACAGGAAGCATGTGATCAAGGCAACCCAAAACAATCCTAGAACATGTTAAAATGAGTCTAAAACATGCATGAAAGGAAGCCAAAATGTGCTAGCATGAAGGGCATAAGGCATGATGAATGCAAGGCAAATAAGGTGGATTACACTACACCTATTAAGACCAAGCATGAAATGACTTAACCAACAAAAATCAGAGTTATATAATGGAAAAATAACCCAAAAAACACATTGAAATGATGGCTCGCAAGCTAAGGCATGAAGGCATACGCAATTTTTCATGTTAAGGCATAAAGGGGCAAACCTTCCAACGCATTGAATGTGTGATAAATGCAAGTGCATGAGCATGAAACATGGACTGAAATCACATAATAAATGATGCCCAATCATTCAAATAGTCCAAGTAAAGCATGCTAGTGGACTTGACACACAAAGCTAACAAGCTAGAATGCACCATGGCTATACAAAGCAAGCCATGCATGGTCAAAACAACACAAATCAGAGCTAAAGTATATTAAAACATAGACAAAAGCTTCTCAAGGTTAAGCTAAAAGCATGCTAGAATGACATGTCAAAGCATGAGGCATGTTAGGCTAATTCATGGAAATGCATTACAAGTGCATGGAGCATGCAAAGGCTGACCAAACCAAACCCTAACAGAGGTATGACATGGTAGAACATCACCAAAAACATGCTGAAATAGACTCAACACAAGCTAGAATGACATGCTACTTCATGAAGCATACAAGACTGGTGTGTGTGATTTACACTAAAAGTGTATAAACTATGCATGGAGTGACTAAACCAAGCAAAAATAGTGGTAAGCCTCAGCAAAATAACCACAAATACAAGCTAAGATATGGCCAACATAAGCTTAACAAACATGCTCACACATGAGGCTAATGAAGCAAGTATTAAAGACACAAGGAGAGGGGATGACCCTCTCCTTTTTGGGACCTTAAAACACCATCTCCACCACTAAAATCTTTCTGGATTTCAATGGTGAGAAGGCCAAACAAGGTGATCCCAAAGCTTAAAAAAAAGGCACAAGAACAAGGCCAAACAAGGCCTAAGAGGGGGTAAACAACCCCAAACACAAAAGTGACCTTAAACAAAGATCTTAAGCACCAAAATACAGAACTTTTTGCAGTAAGAAGTTAAGCTCAAAACAACATGCAAATAGGTTCAAAAGCTTAAGCAAAAATGGGGGTTTTAAGGGTTAAAAACTCACCCTTGAAGACCACCTTTAAAGCTGCAACTCCAGCAGGCTTTTCAAGCTCAAACCAACCCAATAACACCAAAACTAGCCCCTAAGCACCTCAGTAACAAAAGGATGGTGTTTGAGTGTGTGTTTGTGTGTTAAAGTAAGACAAAATGACACTTTAAGGCACAAAACAAGAGCAAACAAGGAAGAATAGATACAAAGGTATATTTGTCTCTCAAGCTTCAATTTTCTGAACCTAGAGAAGGGAGGAGGAGCCTCCCTCTTATAGAGAGCAAAAGCATAAGCTTCTTGAAGAAGCTAAGGCTCAAGGCCATCCCTCCATACACGTGTGTGGAGGATGGTTCTTGTGCTCTCCAACTGTGCCAACTAGCTCAAAATATCTCAAAAAATGTGACAAAAAGTAGCCGACCATTTAAAGTGGTCTCCCAGAACAACAACTGGTCGGCCATGGTGTGAGAAGGTCTAGAGCATGAAAACAAGCACATGGTGTGGTGGCCGACCACTTTTGATGGTCCAAAGATCAAGGAGACCAGTTGTCAGACCAGAAAACTGGCTAGCAGGAGGAAAAGTGGTCTCCAAGGGGAAATACTGGTCTCTCACCCTTGTACCACCTTCTAAACAAGGAAAATAAGGTTTGTACCAAAAACAAACCAAAACGGATGCAAGACGAGAGATCGAGAGGCAAAGCACGCGGCCGAAAGCCTCGAAAACTAGTCTACGAGCATCAAAGTGGTCTCCCGGACCACAGTGTTCCTCTAGGCAGAGGCAACAAGGTGTGGTTCAAAAACCACGCCAAACGGAGAACGTTAAGCGGTCCCAAGACAAGGTGCGTAGCCGAAGGCTCCAAAAATCGGAAACTAATCTCCAAATGGAAAAAGTGGCCTACGACCACAAAAAGTGGTCTATGACCACAAAGAGATGGTCTACAAGACCTCTCCCTCCCTTCAAGAAGAGAAAACAAGATTCGGTCCACAAACTGAGCCAAAGCACAAATAGTTCAGAGGCCCGGAGGCAAGGCTCTCAGCCAAAACTCCGAAACCTCGAAACAAGTACAACATGCGCAATCACCGAGCGCTCAATCAATGACGTCTGAGTCTTAAGGTCAGTCAAAAATTGGGTGTCTACAGACGCTATTTATCTATAAGTATCGTAGCGGGACGAATCTGTCTTAAGGATAGAGTGTCACACACTCGACTCGATCTATTTTATACATTTTTCATTTCGGTAAAATAAATCCTGTAAGTAATTTATTTTTACTTGTTTGATTTGTTTTAAATTATTTATTTTATACAGAAGATTGTTCCAACAATAACATCATTTTTGTATTGCTATGAATGATGAGTTATTGATAAAAAATGACTTAATTATTATGTGAATTAGAAGTTAATGTAATTATTCAAAAATGTAAAATTAATTATATTTTTCTCCAAACTTATATCATTATGCCCAAGTTAAGGGATATAACTGCAAAACTCTTTTTGAGAAACGGTAAAAAAAGTGATTATTTAGAAAATAGCTTCTCCATTCCAAAATCAGACTGGCTTGTAGTGTTGGACTTTTATTGGCGCTTCTCCATTCCAAAATCAGACTCACTATAAAACTCATATTAATAATTCAAGTCGATTAATAGGTAGAATTCATCAAGTATTTTATTATTATAAAAATTTATATTAATTATTAAATATAGATAATTATTTGATTAAATTAATATAAATATAGATAATTATTTGATTAAATTAAATTTATATTAATAATAAATATAAATTTAAAAATAAATTATTGATACAAATATAATTTGATCAAGTAATTGTTAATATCTGATCAAAATAATTTTTTTATAAAAATAAAATAACCAATTAATTTTATATATTAAACCATTTAAATTATAGAAACAAATCCAAAATAAGCGGAAGATGGACCCGACTGGATTGAAATATCCAACCGAAGACTGTCCCTACCAATTATTTAAAGCTGAAAATTCAATTTCCTTTTTGCAAAGCGTAGTTGATACTTCAACACGGGCTGGCCTACAACGCCTTTAATGGCACTGGAATAATAAATTTTTCTGCTTTAATTGGCTTCTTCGATAATAATCTCGTGGCGGTGGAAATGCGAACAGCTCGAAGACGATCGAGACGTTTAGAGAGAGAAACACACACTACTACTGTATATAAGAGAGAAAAAGATAACGACGACTGTTGAGTTACAAACAAGTGTGAGGTTTGTATCTTCTTGTTTTTCACAATCACTCTCTCTTCGATGATTTCTTTGGTTTTGAATTTGGTTGTGATTTGATTTTCTCAGGAAAAAGAAAAAATCTGGTTCGAAATCCAGCAAAATGGGCTTGATTTCTGGAATTTTCATGGGGACGATCTTGGGGATCGCATTCATGGCTGGTTGGCATCACATGATGAGATACAGGAGCACCAAACGTATCGCAAAGGTTGGTGATTTTGCAATTTGGGTTGGGTTTGTATTTCAAATTTGGGGGACTTGGGTTGTACTTGGAGTCAGTCCTATGAGTAGTGAGAATTGTAGGTTACTCTGATTACTTTGTTTAGTTTGGGAAGTCTAAATTAGAACAGAAGACCTAGAAATTGTGATCAGTTTACTTTCTGCTTTAGTCCTGAGGGTTTGATTCCTTGAGTGTGAAATTTCTCTGTTATAAAGTAGGTTGAAATTGGAATTCTCATTACTGCCTCAATTTGTGCGGATCTAGAGGTCAGATCTATCAAAGCTCAAATTTAAAGATATGTGGACTCGGGAAAAAAAGCATCATATTTTAATATTTTTAAATATTATGTGAGATGAGATAGTGTTATATGTAACATACAGTGTGAAAAAGGCGTTTTACTCAATTTGTAGAAATTATACAACAATATATATACATATAATGATAGTAACAAGCATCTGATGAAAAGTATCGGATACTTTGTCCAAATGTCGGGTGTCTGATATGGATATTTGATTTATTTCGAAAAGTCCGTGTAACATAGTTTATAAGTTCTTTGTTTTAAGAAATGGGTATAGATTTGTTTCTACCCAAAATAAATATGTTCGCTTATTTTTAACTTCCCAGACTTTGCTTCAGTGGGAGTCTTGTGCACTGTATCACCATTTTTTCAGTAGTAGTAGCTGTGCTCCTGGTTACTGTTTTTGTTTAAATCAGTATTTGCTTGTATGCTTGAGTGACATTGTGTATTTACTCAATTGAAAATATCCAGAGCTAATGACTGATTCACATGCTACAACTGTTAGAGATTAGCAAAGCCAATTCCCTTGGAGATAAGAATAGGGTAAAGTTGTTGCTGCCAACCAGGGCGTCATACTTATGTGTTAATTAGAAGTGAAGGGGTTTACTATTTTGTTAATTTTGCAACACTTCTTAAGCATTTGTCATGGCAAGATCCTATCCCTCTGCTGCTTTTGTGGAGAGAAGAGTTCGTGGTGCTACAATTTTTTTGCAACTTAACATTTGCTCTTGTACACTGATTGTATTAATTTCTGTGTTTTTTCATCATAATCTCTTGCTATTCTCTTTTTTTGCCATCTCAACAAGCATAGTGTGCATTGATTATTTGATAGTTCTCTATCTCTTCCTATATATGTGTGCATCTATCAAAATTTTGATGTGGTATTTGCTTATCTTATAGCAATATAAAGGTGGAACAAGATTCTCTTGCAATCTAGTATGCTTAAAAAAAAACAAAGAATGTGATGTTAAACTTTGTACTTGTGCTTCCCACACTTTGCTTGATAAGAAACAAAGATTTATTAGACAAAGAAAAGAGTTCAAGAAGGTAGGTATTCTAAAAAGTGGAAAAAATATAGGAGTTAACTACCAAAGCAAATAACAAACAAATAAGAGAAATAGAAAATACAAGAGCTTCAAAAATATTGGGGACATTTCCTGAAAATATCTGCTCATGACTGGTAAAAAGTATTTGTCGAACTGTTTCGCAACTCTTCTTGCAAAAAGGTGAGCCTCTGTATCCATTGACTGGAAGGTCTTATGTGAGAAAACATGTTTTATGGGTGAATGAATTGTAGGGGATTGTTTTTCCTGTATTGAAAAACGAAAATATAAAAAATAAGAGAAGTTATACAGAGGTTTATTCTCCTACACTAAAAATTAGGAGTTTGTATTATAAAAAAATCTTACATTTAGGTCGATAATTAGTAATGGAATGTTCAGATATAAACTAGACTTTTTGAGGTGCTCTTGTTATTGAACCCTTGAATGGCGAATCATGCTCTTGTTCCAATGATATGCTCAATTCTTGAACACTGTTGTGTTTGTATTCTTCTCATTTCATTTCTCTTTCAGGCTGTTGATATTAAACTTCTCGGTTCCCTCAGCAGAGATGATTTGAAGAAAATCTGCGGTGACAATTTCCCTGAATGGATTTCTTTCCCTGTTTTTGAACAGGTTAGGGTGTTTTAAAGTTCTGAATGAGCAACCATTTTCCTTCCTTCTCCCTTCTGTATGCAATTTGTGGCTAGTTATTTTCCTTTGGCTACCATTAACTTTTAGACCTACCATAATTATGAGAGATTAGTGGCACCAGAGTTAATGGAACTTAATATTGGCCAGCTTTGATTAATATTTGCATTGCTTCTGCGATCCAGCTTATTTGTAAATTGTGGCACTTTTTTGAAAAATTTATAATTAGATGAATATTGAAAACTTCTGGAGATATGAAAGAAGTACCAGAGAAATAATAATGAAAATACTGGTGAGCATTAAAATAGACAAGAAGTCCATGAGCCCAAATTAATATATGTCCCATTATATTTTTTGGATTCTGGATACAGACAATTTTTGGTGTCTGATGTGTGAAAAAAATAACAAAAAGAAAAAAAGAGAGGGAAATTTTTTCTTTTTTTTTTTCACCAAAGAAGGGAGACTTGTTCCCCCTTCTTGGGAATAAATGGATTATTGATTTGGTCAATCATCCTCAAGGGTTCCCTGTATTTTATTCTAGATGCTGTTGCCATTTCGTCTTTGATGTTAGTTTTTACCCCTTCCAATTGCTTTCGTTACAGTGCTTTTCAGCTGCAATGAAATAATTTGCGATCATATGTTCCTGCAAGGAGATTGAACTTTGAATCCCTTTCAGCTGAATGACATCAGTGGCCTTTGGTTAAGTTTTCAAATCATGATTTGGATAAAAAAAAATTCAAAACTCATACCACAACCAAACTCTTTTTAGAACTTTATTTAAATATAAAAAAAATTCAAAAAAAAGATTTTTTTATTTTGTTCTTTAAAATTATTTTTTATATTTTATTTTTTTGAAAATTTATTTTTTTCTAAAAAAATATTTTCTTATTTTTATTTTTGAAGAAAAACATTTTTTATTTTTATATTTTTTTGAAAAAAATAATTTGTTATTTTTTTAAGTATTGACCAAATAATTTGTTATGATTTAGGCCTCGTTTGAGAACATGCTATTGTAGGCCTGGTTTGGCATGTCTTGAAAAAGACAAAAAATCAAAAAGTTACTTAAAAAGTTAAAAAGTTATCACTATTCACAAAAAAAAAAATACAAAAAAAATAATACACAAAAAAAAATACAATTCAACTTTTTGCTGAAGTGGCTGCTGTACTGGTCTAGAAATGATTGCCTCCTTTGCGGGCAACCATTTAGACCGTGCAGTTCGGCCTGCGGGGCCACCACGGGTCACATTTTGATAATCTGAACCGTGCAATATGTAGAACTCATTGAATACTATATGCCTGTAAAAAATCACATTGATCGGATATCGCTAACTATATGATCAAATCAATTTTGTATAAAAAAAAACGAATGGTGTTATAGTTAACTAGTGAACAAAAACTAATCCGATTAATGTGATTTCGATATCCGATCAATGTGATTTTTTTATAGGCATATAGTACTCGATGAGTTCTACATATGTTCAGATTATCAAAATGGGACTCGTGGTGGGCCCCACGGGCCGAACAGCACAGTCCAAATGGTTGCCCGTGAAAAAGGCAATCATGTCCTTATCTCCTACACTCTGCCTAGAAGAAGATGTCGTACAGTCTATTACACTTACTTCTCCTATATACATATTTATACAATTTTTTATTACACATGTTTTCGTAAAAAGAATAAAAGTAACCCAAACATCCATCTTTTTTTCCTCAAACTTTTTAGTCCAAAAAGACAAAAGTGCACTTATTTAGGACACCCCAAACAATCCCTTTTTGACTAAAATATGAGATAAAAAAATTAGTATGTTTGGGATAATTTTTTTACTTTTTATCAAAAGATGTGCAAAAAGTAGAGAAAAAAAAAGAATTTTTGACTTTTTGGTATAGGCCGTTGGCTTTTTAGTTTTTTTAGTGACTTTTTGATTTTTAGACTAAAAGATAGAGTTGCCATATGGGCGATCCAAAAAAATTTTAAATTTAAATATTTAAAAAAAAATATTACAATATTTAAAAAATAAAATAAATTATTTAAATAAAAATAAATTTTTTAAATATTTAAAATATTAAAAAAAAATATAGCACACAAATGTAGTAAATACAACATACATTAAAATAAATAAATAAATAAACATTTACAATAAAAAAAATTATCTTAAAAAAATAATTATCTTAAAAAAATAAACTGAAAACAATTTTAAAATACAATTCAAAACTCTTTTCAGAACTCATAACCAAACAAGTTTTCTCTTTTCAAAATTCATTTCAAAAACTTATCTTTCAAAAAAAAACTCAAAACTCATTTCAAAAACTAAACAAAACGGATAGTTTTTGTATATGTGTGTGTTTACATGAATGGGTGCGTTCATGTGTTTTTGTGTAAGGAGATCGAACTTTGAATCTCCTGAAGATAAGCACATCTTAGCATTTCTTCATGGAAACTGTCGTGATTCTTCAGTAGAGAAAGATAGAAAACCAGAGAATGAAGCATTGTGATAGTCTGTCAGGCATAGAGTGACTCCTTTTATATGTATTTTGTAACAATGATATATGTGAAGTTAATACCCATCACTGATATCTTACTACAGCTAACTTTCTTGTTAGAAATATTCTCACTCGAAGAAGAAAACTATCTCAAGATTTAAAGTTGATTTTCAAGAAGAACATGTCAGATGAAACATGTTTAATGTTCTTATCATTCTTCTTTCAGTGTACTTTTTAGATGAGAATGCGACAGCGCATAGTTTCAATTAATCACATGTGAAGTGGCTTAGGAAATAGTCCCTCCATGAAATTATTTTAATTTTTTTTGGATATATAATAGTATGGATATAGTCATACTGACATGTTATTGTTCGTTTTGTCTTAATTTATTTGGCTTCCTGTTTCAGGTGAAATGGCTGAACAAACAATTGAGCAAACTCTGGCCATATGTTGCTGATGTAATTTTTTAAACTTGTTCTCTGTATCAACTACAAATATTAATGAATTATTAACTGCTTACTGTTATCCGTTACTTTTGAGGTATGTTTCTTAATTGTGTCTAATGAGACTTGTACTCAACGGAGTTGTTGTAATGAAGTTAGAGACTACAATAGTACTTTCTGTGTTTTTCTTATTAAAGCCTTCAGTTTTTCCTTTTTTAGGCAATCATTATTAAGACAAAAGCTGTTGTTCGTTCCTCTAGGGCTCTACCTTTCTAGCCAAATGTCCCAAAAAGTGCACTTCCATATTAATATTTTCAGAAGTCAAGAAGTAAGTGCACACCAATTTGTAATTTAGTAGGGTCAAACCTTCAACATTTTTTTAAAACTGGTGAACTTAATCAAATGCCATCATTAATGCATCTCTTATTATATGTTACTGCATTCATTCATATTACTAGTACATCAGGATATCACGCACATTTGGAGGCATAATGAAATGTCAGCCTGAGACTCGCGATAAAGTGAGAGTCTAGTTCTCTAATTGAAAACGTGATGAGGGAAAATGAATACATGGTTACATGATAGTGACTTTTCTGTTATAATGGTTCATTTCCAATTGTAAGAGGACCACTATATGTTCTACTATGGCTGAAGCCTACAAAGGTAACCAAATCAAATCAAACTAAGCCTTGTATTCCAATCAAGTGGGATCGGCTAGATTAATATTTTTTTTTTACCATTCCGCTTTGTCATGGACATATGCTCATTTAGGATCATATCTGTTGGATCTATTTTACATTCATGTGATATCTAAATTAATAAAGAATTTTCAATATATCTAGTTTCTTTCTTTATGTAGTCAGTGTTAGAATGTTTTTATGTCTTTGTAGGAGAAGAGTAGAGGTGAAGATGCATATTTTGATTATCATGTTATTTTATATATTGAAATCTACATGTTTATTTTCAAAGTAATATATATATATTATATTTTTGTACATAGAAACATAATGTGTATTTGTGGTATGCACAGCTGTATAGGCAATGCATGCCTTGGCGGTCGGTGGGCTAGGTGGTTGCCTAGACAGTTGTGTGGGCGCTCACCGGCCGGCTGATCAACTTTTTCCCCCTCTTTAAGCAACAATGGGCTTTCTATTAAATGACTACTTCTAAATAGACTTTTTCAACAATAGTTTTGGGCTTCCATATATAATAAATTGAACTCAATAATCAATCAAACATATTTTTAAAATTATAAAATGATTTAATATTATTGATAAATGAACAATAATGACATTTTTAATTGTTGTTTTCTCTTTAATTGTGGATTAAAAAAGTTATCAGAATAAGAAGTGGAACTGGGGAATGAAATGAGAAATAGAAGCGGGATATGTGGCCAAAACATATAGGGCAACGGAAAGCTTTGAAATGGTCAAGTGTAGTCATATCATTAGAGCTAAAACAGTCGGGATGTATGTTATGTATTTATTAAATGGTTTTATGATTATAGAATGATTATTTTTTAATTGTGTTAGTCGTCTGGGCGTTCACTTGTATGCCTAGGCGGTAGTTCCGGTTCGCTGCCCAAGTGCCTGCAGGCAATTTGGCAACTATGTAGTTTATGAATGTTTTTGCATCTTGATTTCCAGAGGTTGGCCTGATGGAAACCCTGTTTCTGTATTGAAATTTGACCTATGTCTGTCTGCAAATTATAGAAAATAGATTCTGCAATGATTAAAAATTAAAGAAAAAAAGATTCTGCAATGAGTAAAGCGATGCATGGAAACCTTCATCTACTTACCTAAAATCTAATTTATTTCATTGTAATTTATGCTTACTTTGTGTTGCTTAGGTTTCCAGCTGTCTAGCTTCTTTCTTAATTAAGTTCTAATTTTGTGGTATGTATTTATTTCTAGGCAGCAACGTTGGTAATAAAAGAATCGGTTGAACCTCTATTAGAAGACTATCGACCTGCTGGAATTACTAAATTGAAGTTCAACAAATTGTTTCTTGGAAATGTGGCACCCAAAATTGAAGGTATGATCAATTGGCAGTACTTACATTTTCACCTTTTTTTACTTGCTCCAAGAGAGTCATTCTATCCTGCTTATATGGTTTGTATATATATATATATATATTCTTTCTTATTCTTAATGCTTCTATATAGCTTATTGTATTCTTTCTTATTCTTGATGCTTTTAAGTTTGAGAGTGGATATAGTTTAATTTGGTGGCAGCATTTGGCCTCGTTTATGAATGGGTTTTTTAAGTAACTTTTTGGCTTTTTGGCTAAAATATAATGTAAAAAAAATTAGTATGTTTGGGATGACTTTTTGATTTTTTACGAAAAGATGTGGAAAAAGTAGAGAGAAAATGAAATCTTTGACTTTTTGGTATAGGTTGTTGGCTTTTTGATTTTTTTGGTGACTTTTTGGCTTTTTGGCTAAAATCACCACTTGCCAAACAAGGCCTTGGTCATATAAAGCTTTCTAAGAGGAACCTTAGAAGTGGAGATCATAAATGGTCATGTTTTCAACTAAGACCCAAACTTTACATTGATATTGCTTGTCTTCTTGTGGACATCACTCTGACTGGTCGAGGCATAAATCTTCTGAGGGAGGAGGGAATGAGGCACCTTGATGACCTCTAAACTCTACCTTCCAATTTACAAGTCTTCCGAGTGTTTCAAACAAGGCAATGGGTCACTCCGGTATCCCATGACCAAGGAAGCAACCTAAGGGAAAACCGAGCGGATGATGTAGAGATCGGAGAAGACTGCTTCCTAGACATTGTTCCTAACCTAAGTTGGCATGGTAGCATCAAGGTGCCCTTAACCAAGTGTAGTAGAGATCGGAGAAGACCGCTTGGGCGAGCAAAGAGAAAACCGAGCGGATGCCACAAAAGGGCACACTCAGCCGAAGGGTGAGTGTGCCTAATATCTTGGAGTGACAAGTGTAGGAGACATGCTTTCGTGAAAGTGCTCCTTGGTCAAGCTGAGGGAACACCAAGATTGTCAATCATCAACAGAGAGGGTGACTTGCTTGAGTGGAGGATCCTCGGCCAAGTTGAGGGGTGTTGTAATCGGTTAGGAGAATGCCATATCCTCGAGTTCCGAGGCTCAGGTTAGGGCACCAGGTATAGCTCGACCGTGAAGAATGTTGAGATGCGCAATTGGCTGATGTGTCTCCTCACAATTCTGACACATGGTGGCCTGCTAATCTTAGATGTCAATGTGGTGTGACATGGCAATTGTACATGGTGGAGTAAGATATCTGTACCTACAAAGATGCATTTAGTCAAGCATAGGAATAGAGATTATGGTCTATAGTTTTCTTTGAATGAATCAGTTTGGGTTTGAGTTCTCCAAATGTGCTTACTTTATCTTACTTTGAGAAAAGTTGCTTCACACTCATCCCCATTTTCATGTTTTCTAAGGTGACCTTCCTTCGGAGAATGTTTGCAGCTTGACTTGAATCTAGATTGTTAAAGTCCTTCGTTTTGGACATGTCCTTCAATAAACCAGATTATGGATTGCTTCTGGTTTTGTTGTTGGATTTGAAATGTGTTTGGTTCTTGGGTTGAGCTGCATATAGCCTTTATTTCCTTATTTTTTATGGAAAAACATTTGAACTAACTTTAGGGGGATGCACCAATAAATCCCAAATTAATAACTTATGCACTGTTTAGTCCTAAAAGTTTTCTTATAGACTGAAAGGTCCCATTACAATGTTAATAACATCAGATACAATGTTAATAACATCAGAGTCATGTTACAAACATTGGATTTCAAACATCTAATGTTCATCAAATTTCAATAATGTTTGAAAATATAGGATGAAAAACATCTAATGTTCATCAGATTTCAATAAATTTTGAAATTATAGAATGAAACATCAGATCATTTACATCATTCACATCATGTTGATGTAAAAATTGGACTAAATGGAGCATAAGAAAACTTTTAGGACTAAATGGTTCAACGTTTCAAAAACTAGGACTTATGGGTAAATTTTCCCTAACTTTATAGATTATTTCAACTTCAAGTTTTGCAAGCATAGGCCAAGAACCAAGAACTGCCCAAAAGCGGCAATATTGTGTGTTGTGAGACCATGTTCTTGGGCATTTCATGAAAGCGTGAATCATTGCATTTTCTCTTTAGATTTTGTGCATGATTACTTAAATAATGCAGGTATCCGTGTTCAGAGCCTTAAGAAAGGTCAAATTACCATGGATATTGATTTCCGATGGGGTGGTGATCCAAGCATTATTTTAGGCGTTGAAGCTGCAATGGTTGCTTCAATTCCCATTCAGGTTGGTGTATTTACTACTGTCTAGTTTAGTTTTGATGCCTGTCCTACTGGATTTTAATGAGTGTTTGGTCATTTTTTGTTCTTTGTTTACTAATTCTAGTATACTGGAGGATATACATTGACTTTTGTCATTATGCTATTGGGTGTAGTTGAAGGATCTCCAAGTTTTCACAGTTATTCGAGTTATCTTCCAACTTTCTGAAGAGATTCCGTGCATATCTGCTGTTGTTGTTGCTCTACTTTCTGAGGTATGCCCTTAGGATATTTGGATGTGCTTAGAGTTCACATTAGCGGTTTTCTTCTGTCATTGGCAACATTAATTTTTAGTTTTTTTTTTTTTCTCTCTGAATTGCAATGTTGAAGGAGCGCTAATCTGGTTCAGGTGCTCATCCTTTTATTTCAGAAAGAAATGGTTGTTTATAGATTAAAATATTACAGTTTACTTGTGTGTGCATAGTAACTTCAAATATTGTAGGTTCTAGTTAGGGGCTAAATTGTATGGTTTTATGACATGTACTGTATACTAAACTACATTTTCCTAAGAATTTTATAATTAAATTATTTTTAAGTGGGTTTTTATTTGTACTTTATTTTATTTGTTTTTTAAGGAAGGATGAAAATATATCTTATTGGGTTAGATGTTTGATATACATCATGGGCTTGAAATTTCACCAGAAAACACTTTCTTTTTAAAAATTTTTAAAAATTGATCAATATTTATTTTAAAACCCAATAAATATGATCATGAAAAAAAATGTGCGTATCGGTAAGTTTTTTTTAAATTGTGCGAAAAATAAAAAAATTCACGGTTCCGGTTACCGCAACCGTTACGCTACGACCTTTACACCCCACAACCGCAACCGCGCCACCGCCACCGTTACGGCGACCGCAACCGCTTTTCAGAACCTTGTGTGTAGCACTTAAGAAAGTTGTATTGTGATAAATTTGGTGTAATACAATAGAGTGAAGCAAATCTAGGTTTTTACTTTTTAATTAGGGCAAAGTTGAACTTTCAATTGGTTACCACACCTATATGATGGTTGGGGACAACTTGCAGGTATATTGATGAAGGGATTCTGTAGTTCATAGTTATAATAGTGGACTCGACCAGTTCGATATTGTTTAGTGATTTTGATAAAAGGCAAAATGCTGGTTAGTGGTTGTCTTTTGGTTGATGGTATATTATTTTGATGACAAAAGCTTCAAATGCCTCCTAGAGAATGCTACCAGAAAATGCTTACTCAATAGTGATTTACGTTTTGGAACACACTTTTGGAAACATGGTATACTTTCGTTTTAAAACGGTGAAGTTAGCAATCCAAATGGATCCCATCATTTTTTCTATTTTTTCATTGATAGTCTTCTTTAATAGGGAGAAAGGCAAATATAATGAACTAAAATCTAGTTGCAGTGGAGTTTTGGATTGATAAAATGTGAAGTAATGGGTCATAATGTTCGTAGAATTATGTTATTGAATGATTAATTGGAAGATAACTACACTATAATATTTTGGATGTCAAATTAAGAAGTCTACCCCTATTGTACCACATTTTAATGCATGTAGTGTATTAGAACGATTTTGTAGGTAACATAGAATACTTCAAAATATGGGTTCACTTTATGAGAATAGGTCAAGCTTACTACCTAGGCATGATATGATTCCAACAATTTAAAAACCTACGAAAATCAAACCATAGCCTATGTTGCACGCATGCTCACACAAAAGCACATATATTTTGATTGCAAACCAGAATATTAATCCAACCGGAAACTTTATTAAATGCCAATTTGTACTTTACATCCAATGAAGGAGACCAGCCCAGGAGAACATTCTCAACTCAAGAACCAAGATTAGTTGCAGTGTGGATTTCCCAACAATCCAAGTAATTAACAACACGGGTCTAGTAAGGAGGATGATAAAAAATAAGAAGGGAGACAATAGAGAAAATAAAGAAGAGAGGAACTAGAGGTGGAGAATAATAGACAAAAGAATGGAAACAAGTAGGTGAAGAAGAAAAGAGACTGAGAAGTTCTTAATGGTACATGCTGTAACAGCTGGAATGAATTTGAGCGGTATGCCTGAATCAGGCTGGTTTATTACCCGAAACGGACTTATCTGTTCATTGTACCGGTTTGTTGTTATAATGGTAAAGTGTGGAACAGAATTAACAACTTTGTTTCTGCTCCTCGCTTTCTTTTTTCTCTTTCTCTTCATGTAGGAAAAAATTATAGAATATTTTTTTCCCCATCATTTGGTGGACAAAATTCTACTTTTAAGTCCAAGTTGCATAAACTAATGGATGTTGTTCACAACTAAGGCTTAGTATTTGAATTTAATGGAGACTTGCATGGAAGTGGTTCAGCTCTATAGTTTCATGCTTGAGATGAGTGTGAAATAAACTCTAAACCTGTGTATTTAGTTTGTGATATCAGTAGTGTTGTTGGCCGAGAACCTGGTTTGTTAAGTAGCCATTCATCTGGATTGAGTCTCTTCCTTGTTGATCTCTCTATCATATAATATAAAGTATATTTCGGTGTTGGATTGCATGCTGTTAATACCTGATAGTGTTAAGGATATATGAATATACATCCCACAGGAGAAGTGAGATTGTACTGTACTATTTGGTTACTGGTTAGTAAGATGGGTGCTCTATAAACCATTCACACTTCGATTTTTTTAAATTGAATAATTCTTGTGTTCTAGTAATTTTATTATGAACATAATTAAGGCTTTTCTTTGTTCATTCAGCCGAAGCCTAAAATAGATTATACATTGAAGGCCGTCGGTGGAAGCTTAACGGCCATTCCTGGACTTTCAGATATGATTGATGTAAGTGCTGATTATGATATCAAAATCTTTACTGCTGTTGGTTTTCAGAATGGTTGGTATTGTTATGTAGACTTAGTTGTGCTTTTTTTGCCAAATTGGATAGGATACTGTGGATTCAATTGTAACAGACATGCTCCAATGGCCTCACAGGATTGTTGTGCCTATAGGTGGTATAGCTGTAGATACAAGGTAATCACACACATATATTTTTTAATTAAGAAGGGTTCTTAGTTGTACTTGGCTAATGATGTGCACCATAAGAACAAGATTTATTTGCATTGTTTATGGTATATCATGATTGACACACTTTTTTCATCTTCAGGTTCAAGTATTTTTTCATTTTTAGATGTTTTGTTCATCACATGAATTGATAGTATAACACTTTTTTTTTTCTTTCTTTATTTTATTTTATATGGCAAGTTGGAGTTAACACTTCTTTGTGCCTTTTATGCAGTGAACTAGAGCTTAGACCACAGGGAAAGCTTACGGTGACAGTAGTGAAGGCAAATGATCTTAAGAACATGGAAATGATTGGAAAATCTGATCCTTATGTTGTTGTGTACATTCGACCATTGTTCAAGGTTAAAACAAAGGTCATTGACAATGACCTGAACCCCATTTGGAATCAAACATTTGAGCTGATTGCAGAAGACAAGGAGACACAGTCTCTTATTCTTGAGGTTTTGATCCACATACCTTTAGTTCTCTTTTGACTATGCTATTTTGTGAAATTACTGGGATGGTGCTTTACTTGTTGACCATTCTTGGCAAGTTAATGTGTACATACTGAGCCTCTATGCAATTATTCTCGTAATAATCTCTCATGAAAAAGCTTGAACCTAGGGGATGTGGGTGGAGGCCATTGCACCGGGGTAATTGCATAAAGGGTGGGAAATTATGAGAATAATTGACAAATATTGGGAATAATTAAATAAAGAGGAGAAAATGCACAACAGTGTAAAGGGCAGACTTACGGCATGTTTCCCTCTAGTTGTTCCAAGGTTACTGATCTGTTGACTCAGGTTAGGCCAGACCTGTCACATGACCAGATAAGTGGGCAGACTGGTTAAAAAAAATGGTTGATCACATTTGATAAATCTGATGCCAGTGATGATATAGTTCTAGAATTTAGATTAGTTTTCTTTCCACTAGTATATTAAAATAATTAGGTATCTTTTTGTCATGGTGCGATACATATGCAGGTCCGATGGGTTGGATTACCCTTCTCCATCACCATCGTGAACCCAATTGGGTTCTCCAATTCCACCCTCTAACCTGCCCCTGCGCTATTAAAAAACACTGGATCAGTGTTTGTGCTATCCCTATCCCTACCCCTACCTAGCTTATGTCCGAAGTTTTTAGTTCTTTATTTTTCACTTATCAATCATTATTCGTAATATACTACATCATCTCTCATTTTATTAGTAACGCCATTCGTAAGATTGCAAAATTAACCCGTCTCTGACCATGCCCCCGCTACCTCCTTGATTTGCAAAATCGTATCAGAGAGGGGCAGGACAATACAAACCTGTCCCTGCCCCCCTTGCCATCCCCAGCTGTTTCTGTTCCACTTCTTCGGTCTGCTCAGGCTTTCTTCTAAGGCAAGGTTGTGTTTAGATTATGGATTTGGGAAGGAAAGAGAAAAGCCGAGGGAAATGGAGAAAAAATTTAGCTTATATTTCATTCGCATTTCCCTCACCTTTTCCTTTTCCTTTTCCTTTCCAAATCACTACCCAAATCTATAATTAAACACAACCTAAAGGTCCTTCGAATGTCTAATTGGTCCTTTCGGGTACCACAGAGAGCCATTTGGTATGGATACTGTCAAACATTTGTATTATTTTATTTTATTTTATGCTGGTTGAAATGGAGAGTTTCTATTTGCTTTGACTGTGTGCACACAAACTTCACAATCCTTTCATACAGGTTTTCGATGAAGATGTTGGGCAAGACAAACGATTGGGCATAGCAAAATTAAAGCTGATTGAGCTGGAAGCTGAAACTCCAAAAGAGGTTGAAGTGAGACTCCTTCCATCACTTGATATGCTTAAAATAAAAGATAAGAAGGATAGAGGAACTCTTACTGTTAAGGTACACATTTCAATTTATATTCTTAGATCTCGTCTTCATTCTTGAATATTCTTCCATTTGTAATCAACCTATGTTACATGGACTCGGATACAGAGGTGTGAGTGCATGTTTGTAGGTCGGACTCATCGAACTTCAAATTTATACATATTCGGACTGGCAAAAAGTGTCGTATGTTTAATACTTTTAAATTACTACATGAGATAAAATAGTGTTACAAGTAACATGCAATGTCAAAAATACTCTCATTTTTGTAACAATTATACAGCAATATATATAATGATCGTGTTAAATACAAATATGTAAGACATGTCCGATGGAAAATATCAGACACATATTCCATACCTTGTCCAAGTGTCAGACACGGAAATTTAATTTTATTTTAGGAGTCCATGTAACATAGTAATCAACTGCCATGGTTTGCTGCATCTCTGTGGCTTTACAACCACGTGTCTTAATGGTGATTTTGCTAGATGGTGAAATTTGTATTTAGTGTTTCCTAGCATTAATTCTCTCTTTGAATAATATTTATTTAGCGTCTGGTTTGGTGTTTGTTAGGAAAAGAATGCTATTGTTTGTTTATTTATAAGGAAAATAGTGAAATTTTCAGGTGTTGTATCATCAATTTAATACCGAAGAGCAATTGGCCGCCCTTGAAGCTGAAAAGATGATCCTAGAAGAGAGAAAGAAACTGAAAGCCGCAGGAGTTATAGGTAGCACTATGGATGCTCTTGGTTCTGGGGTAGGGTTCGTAGGAACCGGTCTCGGTGCCGGAGTCGGGCTCGTAGGAACCGGCCTCGGTGCCGGAGTAGGGCTCGTAGGAACCGGTCTTGGTGCCGGAGTTGGGATTGTTGGGAGTGGTTTCGGAGCCGTTGGTGGCGGCCTGTCCAAAGCAGGAAAGTTCATGGGAAGGACCCTAACAGGGCAATCCAGTACTGCGAAGAAGAGTGACTCCACAACTCCCGTGAGTTCTGCTCAAGAAAATGGCAGCGAAAAGCAGCTTTAGTGTTTTCACAAAATTATTGATGATATGATATGAGTGAATTAGATCCTGTTGTTTTAGGTTCTGTGAGTAGAATGCTTATACACTTATATAGCCTTTGTTTTCCAAAAAAAAAAAAAAGTATTCATATTGATTGGAAAATGATGTGATGAATGTTAGTTATGTGAATTACTTGACTTGTATAATCCTAGATCAAAATAAGTTTGTGTTCTGCTTTTCCTTCCCCCTCTGACCTTGTATGGTGTGACTAGTCCTTTAATATTTGTTTGTCCTGTTGTGTTTCTGAATGGTAATTCATTTTTCAAAAAGGGCAAATACTTTGCACTTCTGGACTTTGTACTAAAATTTACTTTGGTCCCTACACATGAAATTATGGCAATTAACTCCTTGTACTTTTGATCAAATTTAGTTGGATCCCTGCATATGAAATTGTGATATGTAACCCCTTATACTTTTGGTTAAATCTTACTTTGGTCTTATATTTTTGATCAAATTTCACTTTGGTCTCTATACAAGTGTGAATGTTTCATTTTTATTACTCAATTGTTTAAATATTTATCGGAATCTTGTAGAAAGGAAAATCATCTACATTTTTCATCAATAAACACTTTATCTCAAAATTTATATCAAAATATAACCATATTAGGTTAAAACAAAAAGCAAATTGTGAATAATTAAGAAGACGAACTAGGGTTTTGCATAAATGGGTGCATAAATGGGAATCACAAAACTCTGTTATTATGATAACACAGTCTTCTGTATATTCATTTTTCTTTCTCTTTGATTTTTTTGTTGCATTTTTTTTTAATTTCAAAAGTTCTACTTTCTTGCATTTTCGTCTCAATTTTTAGCATATGAACACACACATACACACATATGTTGTATTATATAACTCTCAGGTACTTATCAAATAGGATAATGTATTGGTGGGAAACATTGATGATTTTCTTCTTTTATCCTCATTTTGCAGTCACATTTTTGTGACATGAATAGATTTTGTTAAAGATTTAAAAATGAAGTAATAGAAAAAGGACATTGACATTTGTATAAGGACCAAAGTGAGATTTGAGTAAAAGTACAGGGGGTTCACTGTCACAATTTCATATGTAGAGATCAAAGTAGGATTAGACCAGAAATGTAGGAGGTTAACTATCATGCTTTTTCATGTATAGATGCTAAAGCAAGATTTGGTACAAAATGTACAAGCACAAAGTATAATTTACCCTTTCAAAAATGTTAAAAGAGATTCCTAATGAACTTTGCACTTAAATTTATCTATAAATGTGGAGCTCACGTTTCATTGTGAACTTTACATTATTACGAGGGGTATGAGGGATGCGGTTCGGGCAATTTGAGACTAAAATTATAAATAGAATGGTGAATTAGTGGATTGGCGGATTGAGAAATTGCAATTTAAGCGGTTTTTGATGGTTTGGCGGATTGAAAAATATTCTAACAAATTATCAAGTGTTTGCATAATATATAACACTAATTTGTATAATATTTTTCATATATATAACACAAACTAATTTTACATAATATTTTTCATATATATAATTACTAATTTATAATAAATTTCACATATTAAATCTCTCACACTCATTTTTACTTTGATATTTCATTATAGGTTATAAAATATATATATATATTAATTATAGCAAAGCGGGGCAATTTTGAAGGCAGATTATAAAATTGGATTGGGTTTAAACTGTAGTTAGCGGATAGAGTGGTGTGAATTGATGCAGATTGGTGAGGTTTTAGTGGATTGGATGGTATTTTGCACGGTCCTAATTGTGACAATAGGTTTTCTATAATGCATTACATAGCGACACTGTTTTTCTTTTTTTTATTTTTGCCCTTACTTTTACAGATGTAGATTTTTAGATTTAGGCTGAGACCTATAGCAAATCGCGAGGCCTATAGGGATGGCCGAATAACATATTCCAACTAGTGTTGTCCACCAGCCACCACGGTCGATGCCCCTCTCTTTATCTTCTGTCTTCTTCTAAGAAAGAATAGAGGGAGGGAGTGTGGTGATGGTGGTAGTGGTGTGAGTGAAGGAAGGGGATAGGAGATCTAAATTTTACCATTTTTTTATTGAGGGGAAATAACGGCATAGTGGTGTCGGGTTTATTTTTATTTTTAATTTTTATAAATTTAGTATGAAAATTTATATATTTTAATAATTAAAATATTATATTTTCCAATTGATTTGTAAAAAAATTTCTCACACTCCACTGACAGGTAATTCCCTCTTTTATCAACATGTATATAAAAATGAAAAAAATTTAACAAGTGTTGGTAGGGCAGTTATTAATATCAAGCTAGGCTGTGCTACAAATATCAATCCCTAGTTCAGTCATGTTTAAAAACGCAGCCCAACTAGTCTATGAATTTAAATATGGTCGCTTCTCTCCTATTCGAAATAAAATTAGAACGTATTATTGGATTTTTATGGGCTCACCATAAAGTTCAGATTGATAATTCAAACCGTTTGATGTATAGGGTCCGTCAAGTATTTTATCTCTGTAAAAAATTACGTTGATCAGATATCGATAGCTACTTAATCAGATCTAATTTGTATTAACGATAAGTATGATTTTAAAAATAAATTATTCATACAAATGTAATTTGATAAAGTGACTATTAATATTCAATTAACGTATTTTTTTTATAAAAATAAAATATTTAACAAACTTTACATATTAAACAATAAGAATCATCAAGATAAATTTAAAATCGATCAAACTGGACCGTCCAATTACAATAGCAAACAAGGCGGTCCAATCCTTTAAATATTAATCTCAAATCTTAAAAAACCAAAAGAGAAGTCCTACAAATGATATTACCAAGGTTATCAATAAGAATTTTATAATGCCAAAATATTTATAACTTTAGTATACGTTTTACAAAATTAAAATATTTTATATATCTTTATACATTTCAATATTGTTTTACACATTTTTAATAATAATAACAATCTAAAAACTGACTTTAGGATTGTAAAAATTAAATTTAAAAAATAAAAAACCAAGCACATTCTAGAGGTGGGTATTGGCCCGTTGGTCTGTCTAGCCCGATTATGTTTTTTTTTAGGATTTGAAAAGATTGTTTTAATCCATAAAATTGGATTGGGCCAATATTTTCAGCTCGATATATTAATTTGTTGGTTTGAAATTTATACTTTCAACTCAGCTTAGCTTATTATTAAATTAATTTATTAATTAAAATATATATTTTTCATTAGGATCTAAACTTTATTTTTATTGATTTAATTGAAATTTATATTTGTGGTGATATTTGATTGAATTTACTAAGAAATCTTTGAATTTATACACAAAATCTTTGAATTTATAATAATATGAGTATATTTATTCAAGAAATATGATATGTGATTGAATTTAATCATGAAATATTTTATTTTTTTTTTTTAATATATAACTCGATGGATGAATTTATAATTTATAATTATTTTTTGAATCGAATTTAGATAAAAATAGAGACACAAAGTTAAAATCGAACCAAACTTAAATAAATATAAAATTTCTTATTATATAATGCCAATCTGACCTGAGGACCATCCTGCATTCTAGCATATGCCCAATAAAGAAAATAATAATGTTAGATATTATGAATAATTTTTTATGAAAATAATCATGAAAGTTTTGTGATTTTTACATTACATTTAGGGTTGGTTTGGGATGTTCTAAAAAAGTGCACTTTTTGACTTATTGACTTATATGGGTTGAGTTTGGGTTGAGTTTGATGTGATGTGTTAGAGATGTGATGTGATTTAAATAAGATGATGTGACTTAAATAGAATAGTGACTTTTTGACTTTTTGAATTATTTAGGTTATGCCAAACTTGACCTTAGAATAAAGTACTACACACTAATCAAGATAATCCAATTATCATAAATCTTTCATGATCATTTTCATGAAAAAAATTTCATAATCCCTAATTTTTCTCTAAAGAAAAATGTTTGAGAGCTATACAGCGAGAGTTATAGGGCAAGAGCTCAAGAGCGTGAGTCCCACCTTAATGTGATATTTTGATTTAGGAGTTGTTTGGAATGACCTAAATAAGTATATTTTTTATCTTTTTATAAAAAAATATACAAAAAATAGAGAAGTGATGTGATAAAAAAAAAATAAAAAAATAAATTATTTGAAATATGTCAAACTTGACCTTAATTTTTTTTCAAAAAAATATAATTCAGCGAAGCCTGTTTAGAGCTTTACTTTTAGAATTTTACATCATCATTGGCCAATAAAATAGTGTTAGACCGTACAGAAACAGTCAAACGAGACATAATCGAACATGGTGCCCAAAAGCGTCGGTTCTGCTGAACAAGTGTGCAATTGCGTAAAGCTCTCTCTCATACAAAACAAAATAAAAAAGGAATTATAAACAAAGCCGTTGAGGTTTATCCAAAAGAAAATTTATCCATAAGTTCTAATTTTTGAAACGTTGAACTATTTAGTCTTAAAAGTTTTGTTATGTTCTATTTAGTTTTATTTTTACATCAACATGATGTGAATGATGTAAATAACCTGATGTTTCATTCTATAATTTCAAAATTTATTGAAATCTGATGAACATTAGATATTTTTCATCCTATATTTTCAAACATTATTGAAATTTGATGAACATTAGATGTTTGAAATCCAATGTTTGTAACATGACTATGATGTTATTAACATTGTATCTGATGTTATTAACATTGTAATGGGACCTTTCAGTCTATAAGAAAACTTTTAGGACTAAACAGTGCATAAGTTATTAATTTGGGATTTATTGGTGCATCCCCCTTATCCAAATACAAATTATTTTTTATAATTTTAAAAATTACATCTTATTACTTCAAAATTTTAATTATATTATATAATGATCTTTTTTATTAAAGAATTATTAAAAATATATTTTAATTAACAAATTTAGGTAATTTTATTTCAATTAACAATTTTTTATTAAAAAATTATCAAGTTAATTAATAATTTTTAATAATATTAAAAATATATTTTAATTAATAATTTTATTATTATATAGGATAATAGTTAGAATTTTTTTTTGGTTAATTTTATTAAATAAAAATTTTAATATGAAAATATTTATAATTTTTAAAATTATAAGAGATAATTTATATTTTTGACAAATATTCAGAGATGTATTTGTAATTTATCTTAACAAAAAGGGCAAATTACAAACACTCTCTCGAAATTTGGTGAAAATACAGATTCTCTCATGAAGTTGGAGAGATTATAAATTATTCCCTGAGGATCAAATTTTCATAACAAATTAGGAGAA